CATGCATCCTTTGACACAGAGCTTTTCAAACAATATATCTTTTCAAGCAATATATCTTTTCAAACAATGTATCTGTATAAAATTGACAACTAGCTAAACAAGGCTCGGCACGAGGTGATTTTCCGGAAATGCAAAAAATGAAGTCCCCTGACTTTTACAAAATTTCACGAAGTCCCTTTCGACGCTTATCCAAAAATCCGATCGACTGAAAAAACGAAACGTCGACTAAAAAACCTAATTTTGGACCCATAAAAACGATATCCCGATAACGACATCCTTTGCTTTTTGTTCCAAAAACGATATCCAGCTTGCTTATAAGCCACCTGTGCCGAGCCCTATAGTTAAGCTTCTGGTTCTTTTTAGAATTTGGCAAGATAATCAATTGCGCGCCGCTTTCTTGCTATGAACTAGGTGCGGTCAGTTTAGCGCGCCATGTGAGCAACTATGAACGCAGCATAATTCTAGAGCTGAGCTCTCACAAAAACTTTATCGCTGTAGCTTCAAATAAGTGTAGTCAAATTCTCATTTCTATAGCCAAGATTGGTTCTTTCCAACAGCATTATTTTGCAGTGATTTCTACTAGTGTATAGTCTGATTCCGAGGTGTTATGCGAGGTTCAATTTTGCACGATTTCATCTGCAAGAAAGGATGTGAATAAGAATTTTTTGAAGTCCAATGCCTTTTCCTATGAAAAGCCTCGAAAAATTATTTCAGAACATACTCCGCTAATTGACCAAAGTTACGACAACGTTATATTGAAAAAACATTGTTTCGCTACAGCATAGGAATATAATTTGCTGCGTTTTACAAGCTATGAATCAAACGCGAATTTTTTTGATTTTTCAACAAACAAATGATATCTCTCAACCTCCGCAATCGCTGTTCGTTATGTTCATTTGTTCAGCATTATTCTCTATTACACTATGACACCGATGATAATGACGATGATGCAAAAAGCACTGCGTCAATACCGACAATTTTCGCTTTGTTGCCGTTTTGTGTGCGATGTGCACATCGCGCTGTCATCGTTCCCTGATTTTCCATGTTCCCTTCAGCTGATGCAGAAAATGCTTTTACTTGTTTTCATGCCAATTTAGTTGCATTTTGGTTTGTTCCTCACTTTTTCGAAGGTTGCGTCACAACGTCCGAGACAAAACTCACTTTGCTGGATCTTGAAAAGTGGCAAAAGTCACTTTTCTTCCTTCTTTCCTTAGGCAACTGATTTTATATTCAAGGTGCATGAAAAATTTTGAAATCAGTTGGACTCTAGTATTATAGTAGCTATTCATACTATGAGATAAATGGAGACAGATCAGATAGTAGATTCTTCTCAAGCAAAAATTTTGACTTCATGACAGAATGGGTGGGGACAAACTTAGAAGCAGTGATCGTACTAGATAGTAAGTTGCCTTTGTTTACTTGCAAACTGTAGAATAGCTCCATTGGTTAGACCTTTAGCTTTTCAGAGTCTATCTCTTGATTGGGAGTGATTTGCTATAAATATGCTACAAATCAATCTGACTGAAGGACGAGTGGCAGTGGTATAGCCAGGTTGAACAAAGTGCGATTGTGGCCTTGAACCAACTAAGCACTACCCTCCGGGGCCGCTGAAATGGTACTAGAGTGAACTGGGAATGTCAAAGCACTGACTTGGTAATCGTTTGATCCTTTGGGTCCTGCATACATTAAGTGGCCTCTTTGACTATAAAGTAGAATGCTTTCGCCGCATACCGCATTCTCTGAATTAAAGAATATAATGTTAGTCTGTAGCTGTGGCAGTCGCAGGATTTCCTCCCAGGGGGGGGGGGAGGGGGGAGGGCGGCAAAAAAATTTTTTAAATGAGGTGCGTGGCGTTAGCCAAGCATTCCGAACGATTTTTTGGGGAGCGCCTTAAGATGTTTGCGGACCCATAACCTCTAAAATCTGGAATAGGGGGGCGTGGCTGCAGCTACACCCTTGAAAATTTTCTACAAGGCTAATTTGAATTATGAAATACTTCAAAAATTGTTTTTAATTATTATATTTACAAGAACGACAAGTCACTTGCACATTTTCATAATCTATGTAAGTAAATTTCAAAAATTTCGCGAGCTCCCCCCCCCCTCGATTCGGCACCGGTCTGTAGATATTTTATCATCATCAGTTCTGTTCTTGATGTAAAAAGTTTACAGTGTAAAGTCAGTCGGGTCCATGATCGCGAAAAATCCAATAACATTCTTCTATAATGTTTTCAGCAATCGGTCTGACTCTGGAATCCCCTGAACAACCATCTTGTTTCTGTTTACTTTTTCACACTACACCCCATCGAGCTGAGTCTCTATCTCGCATCACTGAGCTGAACTAGCAAAAACTCCTTCTTGGGAATTTTCTTGAATGAGCTGTATACTAATTTATTGGGTAAATAAACTGAAGAACCACATTAGCTCTTTGTTTTCTTTATTCTTCTCCCTCGTGCTAAATCATTTTCTCACGTCTAAAAATGTACCTCGTCTCTTTCGGCCTAAAATTTGCAGGAACTAGAGTGTAGATTGAAGAGGGCAATTATAGTTTGTTTTTTCTTGACGGCCGCAGAAATTAGGCGGACTGGCTTGACAGACTGGCCATCATCATTAGATGAGCCTTCTTAAGAAACGAAAAAGCACAGTCTGCAAGAAATCAACCAGCCATAACATGAATGTTATCTGCGTATACAGTCGTAAAATTTGCGGATCTTGAGAAGAAATGATCATTTCCGGAATACTGTAACAGAGCGCTGTAAACGATGCATACAGGGTGGGCGGTTTCATGTACTGCAGAGACCGATAGAGTCCTTGATCGTTTGCCTAGTAGCTGTTATATGGTTTAGAATCGGTTAAGGTATATTTGAATTTGACTATACCTCTTCGACAAAAAAGCTTCTCTGGATACGTGGACTTCCTAATTGTGATTTAGATTCTTTTGCTATAAATCGCTGCTCATGCACCAGCTCATATGATTCAGTGGTGGCCAAGAAACCCAACCCTAGACTCCAGCCACGACCGTAATCTGCTCGACCTTTCCCAATATAGAAGTACGGTCTGGACTAGAGTTTGGGTTTTTTGGTTATGTAGAATCATGTAAGCTGTCGCTTGGGCAATGGTATAGCTAAGGGCTCCCATTTAGTATCCGCTCAAGAAGTCCAGGTACTAGACTTGCCTGCACTTTGTTTTTGCATGCCATTTTTGGTTTCAAATGACTGTTGCCTTTTTTTACTTCTGGCAAATTTAGATTTGTAGTACGTCCATGGGTAGGGAATGAAGGAGAGTGGGTTGGGAGAGAGAGGGGGGGGGAGTGGTGGGTGGAACTGCTGCCATTGCACCTTGGGGTTCGTGCTGCTATTGAAGCGTTCAAAACAATTCTTTGACTTTATAAAATACGACATTCTGAACTGCATTGTGACGTCCCTCTTCAATTTGTTTCCAAGCAACAAATAACCGTATTACTTTTTCGGGCTTTAATTTATAGGCAAAGGAAAAGTGAATCGAGTAAACCTTGTGTACATGAACATTCTCACAGTTAGTTAAATGAGAGTTTGTTAAAAAACTTTCTCGAATGAGATCGTATAAGTGTTTGCTTTTGTTTGCTTTGCACTATAGCAAGTTGCCCTCGTTTGTGTTCAAAATTCCTTGAACAGAGCTAAGCCAATTTCTGCAAAAGTTTTGTGCTTCCTTCAGCAAGACCTCGTATCAGCATCATATGCCCGCGAGGCGCAAAATCGCATTGGTCATGTGGCTCTTCCTTTTTTCTTTTGTAATTTACTTACATGTCCACAGATGTGCATGTGCAAGAAAATGGATTATCTGCTATTTCCGAATGGACCGCAGTGAACATTCAGTCTGCGAGCTCCTTTTTAGACAGCCTATATGATCTTACATGCTTAAGGCTGTATCGAATCATTTGTGAAAGTGAAATAGCATTCTTTCGTGCGGTCCTGAGGGATTCCAAAAGCTTAGTTTCAACTTCAAAGGACATAATCTTGAAATCAAAAAGCGTTTTGAAATTCATAAATAATTTCTGAGGTGCTAAATTTGCAGTCGATGAAAAAATATGTTCTTCACCATACGTAGCGCATGTCTGTCTTAGTGCATTACTTGAACTTTGAAAGTTTTCTGCAAAGAACTTCTTGGGAAAATGCTCCGGGACTTGTTAAGTTCATTAAAGACTTTGCTTACCTGATCGACCCACAAAAACCCTTGATCACTACCTGATCAAGTTTTTGTGATCAAAACTTTACAAGCTTATAGCTTATAGCATTTAGCTCGGAATAATTTTAGCGAATCTTCTTAGTGTTTTTTCCTATCGAACATTGTCATTTTCACTAATATTGAGTAACATCAACTCCCTTCGAGTATGAAGCTGCTTTGAGTTACCTTCAGTCTGACTGTGAGCACGCAAGTTCTTTGTAAGGTACTTCATCTCGACTTATCGTTAGGTACAAATTTTTGCCTGACTCTATAGGTGTGCCGCGCACGAACTGGGAGAAAATTCAACTGTCGTGCAAAACTTGCTGGTCTTAAACTCCATCTTAATTTCCAAGTAGCAGTCCAATAACATCTGCACAGTGTTTTTATGACAAACTATTAGTTCTGAACTGCCAACAAAGCGTGGCTAAATTTTTCTTCCGCGCAACGGCCTTGCTTTCTCATACAGTTTTTTGCTACCCATCAGTTACGTACCTCAGTGGAAAACCTAAAAGGTTTGCCGACACGGTTTTCCCATCAACGCCAGTCCCATTGCCGACATCATTTTCACTTCGAAACGAAGGCCGCCTTCTTGAATGACCTGAAAAATGTTAGATTGACGTACTTCTGTCGACAATTCATTCACATTCTTTGAGTCTGCTCAGATGCTTTCAAATGACTTTAATTAACTTTGCATTTGGTTAATGGGTCTTGTTTTTCGTATGAAAGCAAAAAGCTCAACTTGTTCTATCTCTTAATTGTGAATCATGACAAGAAATCCCATCAATGATAATTTTTCAGGCGACAAAATCTTCTCAAAACAATCACGTCATGAATCATCATCACATCGCGATATGAATCATAATGGTAAGTTCTTTGATTCTATTTTTTCACATCTTTCGCTTAATTAATATCAACGGAAGCGAATAAATTCAGTGAATACTACATATGTGTAAGTTCTAAGCAGTTAGTTACCTTTCTCTACTGTGATCCTTCTCCTGTTAGAAGTTTTTTTCGTTTTCGATAAAAATGTGGAGCTTTATTCAATCGTTGCAAGGCTGTTTTTAAAAATTTTCGCCTAGGATTCTTGTAAATCTATCTGTATTCAGACGAAACTTTTGAGCAAAATACAAAAAAAAATTTCTGAAATGGCAGAGATCGATGTCATATTTGTATGAAGCTCAAAAAGTGGACTTTTCAATCGCTACGGCTGTTCTAGAAGACTCACTTAGTAATCTTTAAGTCCTATTTATATTTAGACAACTTTTTGGCAGAGTAAAATATTTCAGAAAGGGCGATCAGAACGTCCTACTTGTTTAAGTAGTAGTATAATACTTATGAACTTTGTTGAATTCTAGATTAGAAAATTTTCGGAAGTCGATAGTCGATCCATAGGCCTGCACTTTCTCTTTTTCGCAGCTTTCCATTTCATTGCTCCTTCCAATTTCCCATGTGGCTCCCAAGAAGAGAAAGCTCCATGCTTCCAGACAAAGGAAGTATTCGTTTCGGGTGTTTTCCTTTTCTGAATTATTGTACATTTGCGCATGACTAAGGATATATACGGTTGAATGACGATTACTGTAGGTATTAAGGAAAGAGTTTAGAATTGCAAACCGAAATTATTAGGAACTTATTTTTTTATTATAATATTGCACTATTGTACCGTTGTTATCCCTGTATACTTAGTACTTCACTCAAGCTTCGATATCATCCACGATATACAAAATATGACAATTGTTATTCACAAAATGTCGTTTTAGTTCTCATTATTCATCGAAGCGTGGGTAAATGACGCATTTATGCGGAATGTCTCCTGAATTGTGACGATGACAAAGCTTTCACATATTTTGTCGCATCTGCTATACTGAATAGATGAGCACTTGCTCTTTTCTTTAACGAAGTTTTGTCGAAATGCTTCCGTTATGGTATCGCCGAATGTTTTAGAAACTGATATGGGGCCTTATACTAGAGAAACATTTAAAAACAAATATGATAAATTTGTTAATCCAAAGTTCTCGCTTATTCTCAGTTATTCTCACCCTCCTTCTCTCTCCCTTTCCGCCTTTACTAGTCTTCCAGTGACTAATTTTATTCGGTCGTCTCAAAACACTTTCCCCGCTAGTTTTTAAAATTTTGATTTTGAAGTTTTCTGGGACCCTATGCGCCAGTGATGGAGATTATAGTACTAGCTAATGAAGTGAATAAAAAAGAAAAAAATTTACGAGTGATTCTAGCACAATCTGATATTTATAGAAGAGTAGGAAAGCTCTTTTTTGGCTTTTCTGACTGATAGAAATCAAAGAGACAACTGTTCTGGAGTGTAGAGAACTGATTCATACCCTTGGGCTTGTAAAAAATTTGTACAGGGGCAATTTTTCTTCTCTGTCATCTTTCCCTCCTGTGAGCCTGTACTATGCCCGTTTTATCCGACCTGCCTTCTCCAAGCTCGAACTTGGTAGAGGGGGTGGGGCGGTTCTAGATTTGACCGGGGGTTTTTGGCCACCAGAGAAGTTTGCACTCTGCCATTACAATTTTCACTTAGACTTTAACGAATAGAAAGTTCAGCATCATACCCGTCAAAGTCCGTTCTGCCACACACATGACCTTCTGCAAAAGCTGCCACACAGCCATCATCTCAAATTCATCGTTTTCCATAAATGGCTGACCTTCAAATGCTGTCAGCTCTGAACCCATTCGTGAAGGATCTCGAATACTGATGTTTTGCGAATGCTAGCGATGTGGTGCACCACCCATTGCACTTGAAACTCGTTCCAATAGCGTTGATTTATGACTTAATGTCCGACGACAACACTTTAATGTCAGTGAATTATGATTTCCATCAAATAATGAGAGATCCTGAAATAGGAAGTGTTTCTGCGCGATGAGAGAAATCCTATAACTCTTGATAGCGATCGAATGAGTGGTTGCGGATACACATTTTGTCACAGAAAGCGGGGTTGGAAGAAGTTATTTTGGATGTAACAGCTGTCAGTCAGGTTGGATTTCAATCCTATGCAAGTCGGTTTCCTCACGCTCAAGTCTTTTGATGCTCAGTGTAAAAGACAACTTCCATCATCTAAATACTTATTTGTTTATACGATAGTTCTACTGTAAATGAAATTTCTCCTATCTCTGCTGATAGAAACCATCATGTTCATTTGATGCCAGTCAATTGTCAATCAATGAGACGTACCTATCTCGTATCCTAATCAGCAATCGATTTGTTGAATCTTTCAAATATTAATATTAGTGTGATATATAAGTCAAACTACTTAAGACATACTCAAACCGATGATTGATCTATCGATCACTTGACAGATTGAGGAAATGTAGGTTGTTTACGCACTAAAATTGATTATGGATTTATACATTCCTTGCAATATTATTTGACGATTACTTGAGAATCGACAAAAAATATTCGAAAACTGCAAATAATTATTGTCTTGAAATCTTCGGATAATTTGATATTGTTCATTTAAACAGGATTTTAGCGTATGCATCAGGAAAATCGATATATTGATTATATCGTCTTAAGGCGCATTTTCCAATGAAGTAAATGGATTAATTGAACAAATACTTTTTGATTCAAAGCTTTTACGCACTTTTCTTGCTTTTCCAAACAAAGGTACTAATTCGTTGATTGATCTGGTTTGTGCTATTTCTCGCTTTTCTCTTCGTCCCTTCCGCCTCCTTTCATAGTACTGGTTACGGCTGTTAGGAACCGATTTTTACACTACTCTCCATTTCGTGGATGAGTAGGTTTCGCTTTGCAGTTTCGTTCATGTTTGCGCACCTGCAATATGGTGTAAATTTTCATAAGCGTGGAGTTGAGAGCTATGACTAGCTAGCTTATTAGTATATTTATTGATTTATTGATTTTCAAAGGCCTCTATCCATTAGAGCATACTTCATAGTAGTTTCAAACTCTCAGTCAAATACGAAGACCGGGTTATCATTTTGTAATCTAAAAATCTGAATTTTGACTGCAAATCAATTTTATAGGGTTTTCAAAACACGTTGAGTTGTTCTTCTTCTAGATAGTGGAATTTTAAGCTTTTTTTATGCTATAGTACTTCAAAATCGTTCCTTAGCGTTTTGCTCATACTTGCACTTGTTTTATTAACCAAACCTCGACACTATTACGCAAACTCAACAATCTCCATCACACATCGAAGACCACAGAGCATTTATACATATTCGCCCTCAAAGACCGAATATCGGTCACTTTCTCCATATAATAATCACATGTCTAATTGTTTTGGATTACCGTTAGCATCTGTTGCCATAGGAGCCCTTCCTGAAGCTGGATCTGCGGTTAATCTCTCAACCAAATCACGAGCACATACTGTGGGGTTTCGTTTGTGTTTTGTATCATGCGCATACGGAGAATAAGTAGATGTTTGTATAGTGAATAATTGTCATTATAATAAAAAAATAAACACGATTTCTGCCGGAGCTGGTCATGTGTAGAACAAAAGGGAGTGAATGTTAGGACTTGTAAGTCTCACTTTGAAGCACATGTATCAATGATGATTAAATGTTGTATTTTGCCTAAATTTCGAATTTGACTGATCTTTTAGTTAACTTGTAGCGACGCTTTTTTCATCAATTTTGGCATCTCAAAGTTTGGAATAAGTGACGTTCTTCCGATTCCTTTAACGCTGTAAAGTTCGCACTTTGATGTGAATCGTGAATCATGTGCATTGGATTAGTGTTTCGAGTAATTTTTATTTGCCAATTTGAGAATATTTATTTTTATGTAAGAGGAAAAGTGTGACAGTTTAACTCATGATTCGCGTATCAAATATTCGTACCTTTAAGGAACATGAAATGGGAAATTGAATAGCAGATAGGTTGTCGTCAACTTGAGCACTCGTGCTTCACAGCTTGAGGAGATCTAATAGGAGGCTATTAAGAATGCCCTTCAAAGCTATTGTATTTATAGTAGTCGTAATTATTGTGGCTATTTCCAACGTTCAAGTCATCAGCATTTTTCATTTACCCGTTGACGACTCACGCCAACGTTAGCCCTAGCACTTTAGAAAGGTTCCCTTTTGAAATTCATTCATTTTTGCTGAACTTTTGTAGACGAGAGAGTTTGTTGAACGTCCTACAAGCTTTTCTTTCCTTGATAAACCGGTAACAGCCAAGAAATGCAATGCTTCGTTCTCTCCTTTTGGAAACTGTTTAAAAAGTCCGCACCTTTACCTTTACCTCTACTTCCTATGGGGATAGAGAATGTAAGGCTTCAACTGTACCACTGCCCAAACAGCACCTCATATAATTTATTCGTGGATGAGAGATTCAACTGTAAACTCTAATCCAGATCGTAATCTTTCGACTGATCAGTCCAATCTCGAGTACGGTAGAAAGTGCGATTGGAGCTGGAATTGAAGTTAATTTTTTCTGCCAAGAATGCATCGTATGAGCTGCCGCTTGGGCAATGACTTCGTTTAAGCTAAGCAGTATCACAAAAGAAACCAAGATATTTTAGATTTGCTTGGACCCTGCCTTTACCCATATATGACCTCGGGAACCGCATATTATATTTGTTAATTGTTGGTGAGCAGCGGCGGTGTCGCGAGCATGGCTGATGCGACCGTTGCAGGTGTTCACACACCGCTCCACTCGACGTCTGCCACCTACACATGCGTTTTGTCCAGCATTTGTCGTTAAGGTCAATGGCAATGCCATGTTCACGGCCACCTGTGCTTGTGTTTTCTCGCGTTATTGCTGTACTTCTGGCGAATTATCGGAGATTTGTCAGCTGGGCGGATTCAAAAGTTCGTTTTGTTGATCTGAAGGCTGTTCACAGGCGGTTTGAGCACTGGACTTCTTATGTGACTGAGCAGAAAGTTCTCCCTCAG